ATGGATCCCACTCAGAGCTCCGTGTTCAGACTGGAGCTGACGGATCCCGCTCAGAGCTCCTTGTTCAGGCTGGAGCTGACGGATCCCGCTCAGAGCTCCGTGTTCAGACTGGAGCTGACGGATCCCGCTCAGAGCTCCGTGTTCAGACTGGAGCTGACGGATCCCGCTCAGAGCTCCGTGTTCAGGCTGGAGCTGACGGATCCCGCTCAGAGCTCCTTGTTCAGGCTGGAGCTGACGGATCCCGCTCAGAGCTCCGTGTTCAGACGGGAGCTGACGGATGCAGCCCTGATTCAGCAGAAGCCGCTGGAGGCAGGCCTGATTCAGCAGAGGTTAATGACGCTGTTATCGGGAGCGCAGCGCTGGAGTCAGCAGCGGGACGGAGGGTGCAGCAGCCTGCGGGCACGGCATCACCTCGCGGGGCTGGGCACGGCTGCCCTCGCCTTTATCAGCATTGCAAAGTTTTATTGCTGCAATCACGCTGCTGTTAATTGCACCGAGAGCAGGAGGGCACCTCCACCCCCTTCTCTGCCGCTGCTTCTCCCTCCTGCCCAGCCTGGGCTGCTCGGACCCCAGGGCACAGCGGGTCCCTTAACAAGGACACCCCCGGGGCCTCAGGGGTGACCCCAGGTGGGTTTCCACCCCCACCCTGTGGATGGGGACCTGAGCCCAGCTCTGAGGGACACCCCGACCTTCCCTCGGCTGCGGCTCCTGCCCTCAAACCCCCCCACCTCCACGGCGATCGGGTTTCCCGGTGATCTGGTGAGGTGGAAACAGATCCCTGTGCCAGGGTCACTGAGAGTGGAAGGAAAACTCCACTGATTGCTCCCGGTGTGGGTGAGGGGGAAATAAACATTTACCGGGCTGGAGATTTGTCCTGCAGTGCTCAGCGGCTGAGGGAATCCAGCAGGATCCTGGAGGAGGGGAGAGCTTGGGAACAGCCCGTTCTGGGCTCTCTGCAGGTGCCTCCAGCACCTCTGCTGCCGAGAGCTCAGTTCTACACCGTGCTCGTGGAAAATCCAACGGGAACAAGGTGGGATGATCCCCCCTCAGAGGCACTGAATCCAGAGGGGCCAGCTGAGGGGCAGGAGGGCAGGGAGCTGAGCACACAGCCCCTGTCAGGCTTGGTTTGACTGCTGTGAGCAGAAAAAATACCCCACATAATCAACTTAAAAAAAAAAAAAAAAAAAAAAAAAAAAGCTTTGTCACAGCCATGGATTGTGGCATCAGAACCATCCAGAAGTCCTGGGAGGGGGAAGAACAGGCAGGGAACACTTTGCTCATCATGATGGACTAATGCACTGAAGGCTTTGAAGGCTTTAATAATGTGGGAACTAGCTCACCTCACTGCTGCCATCTCCACCATCCCAGGAGCTGCCTGAAATCACAGGAGTGTTTATTCTCCTCGGCTGTATTCACAGGGAAATCCTTCATTTCCAAGCTGGGATAGATAATTCATCAGCTCTAGGCAGATAAGCATTATTTCCATCTCTTCCGTGAGATGTAATTAGCTGGCATGATTACACTTTATTAGCCTGCAATTCTGTACAACTCCCAACACTGCACAGCCTCTGATGGGAGGGACGTCTGTGCCAGGTCCCTCGGAGCCCCAGCACGTGGGACAGGCCCAGGACAGGGTGTGACAAAGCCATTTGGGCATCACTTGTGCTGCTGGCACTGCTGGTTTGTCCTCCTGGATCCTGCTTTACCTGGAGCCTTTGCAGAGGATGTGGGGAGTCAGAGCAGGGAGCTGGGAGCTGAGCCTGCAAAGGGGGATGGATTTAAAGACATCCTTGGGAAGGATGGAGCCAGGAGGGAGACAGGAGGGCACTGGGGGGCTGTGTGTGCACCTTTTGTGCTCAGCAGGATGGGCTCAGTGCCTGAGCAGGGCCAGGCTGGGCTCCCAGAAGCTGCAGCTGGAGAGGAAGGACAAACCATTCCCTCCCCATCCTCCTCAGACACCCCTCAGGGTGGCAGGAATGAAGGAAATCCTGACCAGGAGCATGTTGGGGACAATCCCCTCTGCACATAACTATGGGGGAATAAACCAAAATGTGCTGGAGAGGAAGGACAAACCATCCCCATCCTCAACTCCATCCCTGTCCCCATCCCCATCCCCATCCCCATCCCCATCCCCATCCCCATCCCCATCCCCATCCCATCCTCCCTGGGCACCCAGCAAGGTGGCAGGGATGAAGGAAATCCTGACCAGGAGCACATTGAGGACAATGCCCTCTGCATGTAGCCATGTGGGAATAAACCAAAATGTGCCAGAGAGGAAGGACAAACCATTCCCATCCCCATTGCCATCATCATCCTCATCCTCCTGGGGCAGCCACTGGGGCAGTGGGGATAAAGGAAACCCTGACCAGGAGTATGTTGGGGACAATCCCCTCTGCACATGACCCTGTAGGAATAAACCAAAATGTGCTGTAGAGGAAGGATAAACCATCCCCATCCCTGTTCCCATCCTCATCATCCTCAGACACCCATCAGGGTGGTAGGGATGAAGGAAACCCTGACCAGGAGCACACTGGGGACAATCCCTTCTGCACATGACCCTGTAGGAATAAACCAAAATGTGCTCACCTGCTGAGATTTGAGCTCCCGAATGTCTCCAGTCCAAACAAAACCTTTCAGACAACTTCTTTACTTTCCTGGCCCAAGCTCTGGCAGCTGAGCCTGTCTCTGGCACCGGGCAGCCTGTGCCAAAAGCTCCCTGCTGTGTCCCCACGTGGCACTGCCTTGTGGGGCCAGGACATGGTGCCCATCCTCAGGTGGTTTTTGGAGCCCCAAAAGCAGCCTGTGTGTCTGTGGGACAGCTCCAGGCTCTGCTGACAGGCTATTTCTGTGTGCCACAAACATTCCCTTCCTGTTTGCAAATCAACAAGATCAATGCTGTCTATTTTTTACCTCTTCATTCAGGTTTTATTTATTTATTTAAGAAACACACCAGTAGGAAAAAGAGGCAGTGATGACTCAAGTGCTCCTGTGCCTGTGTGGATTAATTTTTCAAAAATAAGGCTTTTTAACCACTTACTTGGTTTATTTAGCAGAATTCTGTGTGCCCTGCCTAAATCATATTCCATACATTGCTTTTTTGGAAGGGATGAAGCTTGGTTTCTAATAATGAAGTTATTTACATGGATAGATATTCCCATTTCTTTTCAATTTGAAGAGGGTGGATGCATTTTCATCGCCTCTTAAATACCATCAGCCCACTAAGACAGAATTTCAAATTAATTCACAGCCAGACTCCTCGGGGATCAGCACTGGGGAAAGTGTTTAAAAGCCTCCAGTGGAACAATTTTCTGTTGGAAATGAGATTTTTCTGCAGATAAATTTCCCACGAGAATCCCTTGGTACCAGCAGCATTCGGGCCAGGCAAACAAACTGCAAACAAGCCCTATGAAAAGGCAAAACCTTCTTATGGAGCATCTCAGGGGGGAAAAAAGGGATAGAAAAGGACATAAAAAAGGAAATATTCCAGCTTTGGGATTATTTTCCTATTGGAATGAGTCGGAGGGGTGAGAACAGTGTTAGGATGCAAAGGGCTGGCGCACAGTGGCCATCCCTGGGGGGAGAGGGAGCTGCGACAAATGCAGGTGGCATCTGGGTGCCACTCGATGCGCTGATGTTTTTTGGCCACGTGGGGAGTGTCCGGCTCGGGCAGAGCTTGGCACGGGCACGCCGCGCCCAAAAGGAGCATTTTGGGCTGCAGGGTGGGTGGCATCCCCCGGGCACGGCGAGGACCCGCTGGTGTCCCCCGGGTGCTGGCAGCGCTGCAGGGCAGGGCTGGCGGTGGCAGCGGGCGGGGAGCGAGGGCTGTGCCCATCCTGCCGCCCCCTGCCCAGCCCCGCCGAGGGCAGCTATTTCAGGAGGATAAACAGGATGCCTCGCTCCCGGCCCGGCCACTTCCAGCCCTCCCTCCCTCCCTCCCTCCCTGCCACCGCTGCCGGGTAAACAAGGCCAGCCCAGGAAAAGCCTCCTGGAGCCATTTCCACGCTGGCTGCCCCACACCGAGCCAAGCTGAGCTCAGGGAGCATCCAGGGACCCCGAGCCATCCCAAGGCGTGCATCCCCCTCGGCAGCGACTCCCCGGAGCCTCCCCGCAGCTGGGAACGGCTTGAACTTTCTGGGCACGCCAGCACGTCCTCCTTCCTCCTCCTCCTCCTCTTCCTCCCTCGGTCACACCCCGAGCTGCTGGCGGTGCCCGGGCTCTGGGAATGAGGGCGGCGGGGCCTTTCCTTTCCTTTCCTTTCCTTCCCTCCCCTCCCCATGGATGTGCCCGGGCAGCGCCGCGGGATCCTGCGGGCTGTTTCCGCCTGTTGCGCTTGGGAACGGAGCCGCAGCAGCAGCCAGAGGAAGGAGGAGCTTTTCCAGCGCTTCCTCCGGCTCCTTCCTCCCCGGCTGGCTCCGAGGAGACTTCGCACGATCGCTGGGAAACACAGACACACACATTCCAGTGTCCCGCTTGGAGTGTGCCCCCCCTGCTCCCCGGGTGATGCCAGCCCCATCCCGGGGCAGCTCCCGCGGCCGGGGCGGGTTTTAAATCACCCCGAGCGTTCCCATCCCGTTCTCCCCGAGGGGCCCCTGGCTGTGCCGCCCCTCTCCGGTTTGGCACCAAGGTCAGGCTGCTGGGCGCAGGTAGATGGGAGCCCGGCGGTGGCAATGCCAGCACGGAGCCGGTTCTCCCGGTGGCACTGCGGGGGACACCGGGCACTGCCCAGCCCCGGCTGGGGGCACGGCCCCCTGCTCCATCCTGCCCATCCTCCCCTCTCTGGGTAATTAGCCGCGCTAATTACCGGCGGGGGACACTCGCCGCCTCTCCCCGGGACCGGGGGCGGTGCGGGAGGAGTGGCCGGGGGGAGCCGTGGGGCGCCGTGCTGCCGGGCCGCCCCGAGCTCTGCTTCTTCCTCCTCCTCCTCCTCCTCCTCCTCCTCCCTCTTCCCTCCTCCTCCAGCCGCTCCTCCCGCCGCCCGGCCCGGCCCGGCTCCGCTCGCCATGGGAGATGTGGTCTCCACGCACCTGGACGAGGGTCGCCGCCAGCACATCGCGGGTGAGCCCCCGGCGCGCCCCCCGCTCCGCTCACCCCGGGGGGATCCCCGGCATCTCCCCATCCTGCCTTCAATCCCTTTGGGAACCCCCCCCGCTCGGTCTTACCGGGACCCCCACTCTGCTCTTCGCCTCTCTCTCGCTCTTGAAAGTTTTTAATTTTTACTTTCCCCGCGGTTTTGCCTCGGCACAGCTCGGCAGGTACCCCTGGTGCCTCCCCAATGAAAGGCTGCGTTGTGCCGGGGTGTTTGTGTTGGCGGCGGGGCTCGGGGACCCCTCGGGCTGTATGGAGGGGAGAGGGGAGTTGGGCTCGGGGGGATGCTGGAAGCGCAGGGACACCGCTGTCATCGGGCATTAATATATATATATTATATATAATAATAATAATATAATATTATAGATAATATATATAATTACATATATATTTATGCAAAAATAATGCTGGCCCTAGCTGGTACATGAGCCTCATCCCCCTTCACAGTGCTGGGAGATCCTTAGGAAAGGATCTTAGGAACCCCCCTCAGAGGTTCTGGGCTGCCTGCACCCCAGGCTGGCTCCAGGCAGGACACGGCACTGCCCCCGCCCGCTCCGTGCGACGGGCAGGGTGACAATGCGGTCATTGAGAGCCGTGTGTCCCCGGCTGAGGATGTCTGTCTGTCTGTCTGTCTGTCTGTCTGTCTGTCCGGAGCTGCCCGGGAGCCGCGGGGTGACGGCTCTGCAGAGCACGGATCGTGTGAAGCCGTGCCTGGGGGGCTCAGCGCTGCTAACCGGGCTCTGTGGTGACACTCCTGACCCCTGTAAGTGGGGTCACCCCCCTGTCGCCGTGCCCAAGCCCCTTTGCGTCACTCGTGATGCTGGCACTGGGCTCCCCGGGGCTTCGGAGCGGGCAGGACGTGACCTCCGAGCCCTTTCATGTCCCAGCTTTGGTTTCAGCTCCCCAGGCTGGCAGAAAACCCCCTCGGCTCCAGTGGCTGAAGCCACCCCCGCACCTGAGCGGTGTCACAGCCCAGGGTGGCTTCGAGCCGGACCTTGTGCGTCTGGCCGGCAGCTCAAGGGCTGGGGAGCGCCCATGTTTTGGAGGTGGCTCCGCCGTATCGCTGCTCTGTCGCGGCCATAAAGCCACGGGAGTGGCTCTGAAGTCCTTTTGTCCCCAAGGGCTCCGGGGGAAGAGCTGCCGTGGGGCTGGCACAGGCACGGCTGTCTCGCCGTGCAGCCCATCCGCCCTGCCAGGCCCCATCCTGGCAGGAATGCTTACGTGGTATGCGGCTCAGCAGGACGCCAGCAGGTTTCTGAGCTTTGAAGGAGAGCTTGGAACTCGCTCTGGGGTTTTCATCTTGCATTAGTTAAAGTTCCAGCCCGGCTGAGCACCGGCTCGGGGCTGCCTGTGGCGTGTTTGGATCCAAAGCACATCCTGAATTTCTCTGGAGCTTGCTGAGATTGTCTGTGCACAGATAGCTCCCCGTGCAAGCCCCTGTGATCCTAATCCTGAAGAATAACAAGGAGAAGCCTGGCTGGGTTTCCTGGGCAGGAATCTGTCTCTGCTGGGGCAGGGATTGGGTGTTTGCAAGGCCAGGCTGGATGGCTGCACCCTGGCAGGGGCTGAGCTGCTACCCCAGGGTGGGATTTAACCCATGCTTGGGAACTGCAGAGGGCTTTTAATGAGAAAAAAAGATTTCATGAGGGGAAAAAAAAAGATTCGTGTGGAATAGGATTATGGAGCCTGGGCTGGGACATGTCCCGTGCCATGCTGGGGTGGGCAGGGGGGACACACACCTATACTGGGACACTCCCTGGGAGACACTGGGACAAACGGGGTTCCTGGAGCACCTCTCTGCTCCTGCCAGGGCTCCTGGCTGGCTGAGGAGCCCCCGGAGCTGGGAGGGGCTGGAGCCCAACAGGCAAGGCACGACTTGCTGTCAGGCATGCAAAGCAACGTGGCGGGGAAAGCTCCGGGTTTTCCTGCCTAGCTCGGCCTGTTCTCCACTGCTGCTGCCCCAGGAGGGATCCTGCCTTTCTCCAAGCAGCTTTTCCCAGTTGTCTTCCCAAATTTGGGGGCTTTGGATTTGCTGCCCAGGCCCCCATGAGCCCTGCTTGCTGCAGGGACAGGAGCTCTTTGGGCTTGGCAGTGTTTCCTGAGCTTGCAGCTCCTTAGACCAGCAGAGCTGCTGGGGAGAGCCTGGCCCAGAGCTGTGCCCCTCCTGGAATGGGGTAAAGGCAGGAGGGAGGTGGGAGAAGCCCTGCCATGCCCACAGTGCTGTGCAGGGACAGCCATGCCCTGTCCCAGCCCGTTTGGTGGGGGCTCTGTGAGGCTCGTGCCAGTGTCTCCCAGAAGCCACGAGGCACACAGGTGTCACTTGGGTGGCTCAGGAGCAGGGTCCTTCTTCCCAGCTGGGGCTGGAGGGCCCCAGGCAGTCACAGAGGCAGGTCCCTGCCAGCTTTGGGGTGCCAGGGCAGCCAGGTGTGATGCACAGGTGTGATCCTGCATTCCCTTCTCCAAGGTCTCTCTGACCGGTGCTTCCTCCTGCCCCCTGCTTTGGACATCTTCCTGCCTGACTCAGCCAGTTTGTTTGTCAACACCCTTCAGCTGCTCTCCTCCTCCTCCTCCTCCTCCTCTTCCTCCCAGATGTGGGCTGGGAGTTGTTTCCAAGCTGCTCTGTGGGCTGGAGCAGGACTGGCTCACCCTCCTTGTGCAAGGATGCCCAGCGTGGGCACCATCACCAGGGTGGCAGGGATGGGGTGTCCTGGGAAGCCAGGATGTCACTGGGTGGAGTTTTGCACAGTGTCTCTCATGCCCAGGGCAATGAGTGCTCTCAGCATGGGACAGATGAGCTCTTCCCTCATGCTGGGATCCTGATGCTTCCCTGGAGCCTCTCATGGACCCCTTCTCCTGGGGGCTCAGCTGAAGCGTGGCTGGCAGGAGCTCTGGCTGGAGCTGCTGGTCCTGAGCCCAGGGGTGCCAGCACCCAGGGATGCAGCAGGAGCCCCTGGGTGCAATCCCTGATGAGTGGCAGAGCCCAGGGTTCAGCAGGAGCTCCTGGGTGCCATCCTGGGTGAGTGGCAGAGCCCAGGGTGCAGCAGGAGCCCCTGGGTGGGTGGCAGAGCCCAGGGATGCAGCAGGAGCTCCTGGGTGGGTGGCAGAGCGCAGGGTGCAGCAGGAGCCCCTGGGTGCAATCCCTGATGAGTGGCAGAGCCCAGGGTGCAGCAGGAGCCTCTGGATGTGTCCATGCCAGAGGGATGTGGGGGTGGGTGGCAGCACAGGGAGGGTCCCTGGGAGCTCACACCTTGCTCTGGCATCTCCGGGGAGTCACCAGCCCGTTAATTACGGAGTGAAGCAGCTGCTAATTTCGGGCTAGGAACTTCCACAGGCAGCAGCCCACGCGGAGGTGGCAGAGGTGACACCGAGCCTCGTCCCTGGGGCGGGACCTGCAGCCTCCCTGCTCCCGGGAGCCTTGTGGGGCATCGGTGTGTGCGTAATATCCCTGATCCCAGCAAGGATAGGACGATGGGATGGGATATGGGGTGTGATGGGATGAGCTGGGCTGCAGGGCCGGCTCCAGAGGTGCCTGGCAAACGCCAGAAGGCACCAGGCTGTGGCGTGCCCCGGGGGTGGAGGCTGCTGGCAGCGGGACGAGGCTCTCCGTGGCTTCCCTAAGCGTGACACTCATTTCCCAGCCTCTGCCGCAGCTCAGCTCCAGCCGGCGTGGGAGGCGGAGGCTGCCGGGCTCTGGGGTTGGTTTTGAGGCTGCAGCCCTCGCCCTGCCCCGGGGGCAGCCGTGCAGGGAGGCTCCGAGGGCGCTGCAGCCGTGCCGTGGTTTCTCCCAACGAAACGCGTGTCTTTCATCGCCAAATAAATAACTCCCCTGGCACGTCAGGGCTCCGTGCCAGCGGCCAGGGCTGGTTCTGGCACGCCGGGGCTTTACCTGCAGCCGTCGTGTCGGGGCACGGGGCTCGCTCCCAGCGCAGCGTGTCGGGGCAGGGGACACGGCTCCGGTGGCCTCCCCGGGTGGGTGGGAGCCCTCCCGGCCGTGCCCCCCTGCCTCCCCTCGGGGGGGCTTCCCCTGCCTGCCCCAGGGCGGGTTTAGCCCCAGGGCTGGGCTGGAGCGAGCCGGGGCACGCAGGGAGGGGAGCGCTGCAGGGGCTGTGCACAGGAGGGACAGAGCCGGGGGCAGCTCAGAGCTGTCCTTGGGCCAGCCCGGGGGAGACAAAGGTACCCCAGAGCAGGACACCTCCACAGCAGTGTCAGACACCCCAAAACCCATGGCAGGAATGTCCGATTAAACCCTTCTCTGACCCAGTTTAAGCCCTTCTCTGACCCAGTTTAAACCCTTTTCTTACCCAGATTAAACCTTTTTCTGCCCCAGACTATGTCCTTTTCTTCCCCAGATTATACCCGTTTCTGACCCAGTTTAAGCCCTTCTCTGCCCCAGATTAAGCCCTTTTCTTACCCAGATTAAACCATTTTCTTACCCAGATTAAGCCCTTTTCTTATCCAGATTAAACCCTTTTCTGCCCCAGATTAAGCCCTTTTCTGCCCCAGATTATACCCATTTCTGACCCATATTATGCGCTTTTCTGCCCCAGACATGGGGCAGCTGAGAGGTGTTTTAAAAACTTTTATTCTATTTTCAGTCCCATGGAAAGGGTGAGACAATCCAGATGTTATAATTCACGGCATCACAATCAGAAGCCAACTATTTCCTAATTACAGTATATTATAAATCTTTATTGGCCTATCAGCTTTAGCCACACCATGCTGTAAATGCCTTAAAGCTTTACAAATTCTCTACAAATTCATTTCCCACCCAGGGACACAGCCAGGAGCTGGCATTTCCCAAGCCTTTGCCTCCCCTCCTCCCCAGATCACTGCAGACACTGGCTCAGAGCTCAGAGGGGCTCAGTACCCCTTGGCACAGCCCCTGCCAGCCCCAGCCCACCCTCCTGGCACTGCCAGGCTCCTGTGCCAGGAAGCAAGGCTGGAGGGATGCAGGGATGCAGGGATGCTCA